CTCCATCTCTAAACGAGCCTAAACAAACAAACAAACAAAAAAGAAATATACTGTTTCATGGCACTGAAAGGAGGGTCTAGGCAGGCCTGGCATGATGGATCCACAATCAAGATGGTAGCAAACAGTTTTTGTGTCCTCTGGACCAATAGAATGTGATGAAAGTGACATTGCCAGTTATAGGTTAGGCTGRGAGAGATCTGACAGCTTTGGGTTTTGCTCTCTCGGAAGCCAGCCTCCATGTAAAGGAGTCCAACTACCCTGATGGAGAGAGGGGACCCCTGGAATCTAAGAGACTATATAATATAAAAAACATTTAATTTTTAAACATATAAAAATAGGGATAGAGGCCTGGCTAGTCCAGGCATTACAACTACTCCATTCGTATAGGAACTGACATGTGAATGAAGCCAGCTTGCACGCTCCAACCCCAGCAGTACCACGTGGAGCSGAGAAAAGCCACCTCCTTTGGAGGGCTGCCAACTGCAGAATCCTGAGCAAATGAATGGTAGTGATTGTTGTAGGCTAATGCCTTATAGGGTTGTTTGTTGTGTAGCAATAAGTAACGGAAAAGGCTAGCTCTGGTGCTCTAACAATTCATTAAGGAATCTTGCTTCATTTCATGACYGTGCTTTCACAGGGAGGCTATCTGTATGGTAGCAAGGATGTCAAACATGACAGCAGGCTTACATTGTCCCAGCTTAGCAATGCCCACTGCAAGGGTATAGCTCTTTACCAGCACCTCCACCAAAACTCGGGTGACTCTGATTGGCTCTGACTAGGTTGTATGCTCCTCCCTGCACAAATCACAATAACTGATCCGCCAAGGCTAGATCTTGCCCTCTCCTTGGAGCCTGAGATAGGCGGTGGTCTGCCTCACCTAAACAACTTGGGTTAACAAGAGTAGAGCTAYAGGACCTCAAAGAAAATCTAGGTGCTGTTTCCAGAATAAGGGGCTGGATGCTGGGTAGACAAAACCACAAAAGTCATGTGTACTCCACTACTTGTATGAAGCCTTATCCCAATATTCCAAACTTTAGGCCTGCTCCAGTTCTTTGGGGCTTAGCAGATGTTGCCTCGTGCTCCTTATACTTGGGGGGAAAATTCTTATTTCATGCCCTGGGTGTGAACCTTTATATTCCTTATTGTTCCAACTGTATTTGTTACTTTAACAGTGTAATATTTTTCACTACTTTCTACAGAGAGAGACTTCTGAAAGTATCATTAGAGACAGAGAATTGTTAGACAGGCTTTCTGTTCACCCCCATCCCCCAACCTCTGGATTTTCAAAACCTAGGCATTGGCATTACCTCCATACAAAAGGTCTATTTTCCCCTTGGGTCCTACATCCCCCAAAAAAGAGCCAGATGGTGATGAGCACTGCTTGTTTTCTTTCTTTTCTAGGGAGCTTGCTCTTGTGCTATTTAATTTGTGTATTTTTTTTAAAGATAGAGTGAGAGAGAGAATTTTTTAAAAATATTCATTTTTCAGTTTTCGGCGGACACAACATCTTTGTTTGTATGTGGTGCTGAGGATCGAACCTGGGCCACACGCATACCAGGAGAGCGCGCTACTGCTTGAGCCACATCTCCAGCCTAATTTGTGTATTTTTTTAAAAAAAATTATTCTGTAAGAGTGCCCAGCAGAGCAGCTTTTGGGCAACCAGCTTATGAAATAAATCTAAATGATCTAAAAAAGAACATCTTCTGTTAATTGCAATTTAAGTGAGCCTGATAACKTTTTAATTAATCCTTCTCATTGAGGGTCAGCATTCCAAGATTGGGGGATGGAGTTCTCCTAAGGAACCCAGATAGTAATAGAAAGGGAAAGTAGATGCCTGTTTGCGTCAACTGAAAACCCAACTGTTGTAGGAGACTTCACTTAGGTCTGGCCCTTCTAAATTTATTCTCTCTCTCTCACACACACACACACACACACACACACACACACACACACACATATCCCTATGTAATATACTTCATGTAGCTGAGGAAAGAAAACTAGAGTATCAGGAAAATGAGAGGGAAATTCAGAGATGGATTCTCACAGATTTTCAAGACTGGATCTTTGAAAGATCAATTTGAGGGGCTAGAGTTGTGGCTCAGCAGTAGAGTGCTCGCTTAGCATATTCGAGGCCCCGGGTTTGATCCTCAGCACCACATAAAAAATAAATAATTAAAATGAAGGTATTGTGTCCAACTACAATGGAAAAATATTTTTTTAAAAAAAGATCAATTTGACATAATGACTTAGTTAACAGTAATAGACTATCTTGCATTTATAGCAAGTTTTATAATTATAAAAGTGCTATTATGTTTAATTATTTAGTGATMTGAATTCCAGGATTAAGGATTCCATCACACTTGTTGCCTTTAAATTTTTTAATTATTCTCAAAGATTGYATGTATATTTGTGTGTGTATGGATCAATCTGTACCCCATGTACCAACAATAATTTATTAGAGTATTATTTATAATCTTGTACCTTTCTCCTATGGAATCCTTCTTGATGTCTCCACCAGAGATRAATACTGTCCTTAAACTTGTGTTTAGCATATTCTTGCTTTTCTTAGTAGTTTTACTGTCTTTGTTTTCCTAAACAAATTGTTTATTTTTTTTTTAAATTTTACATCAAAAAATTTTTACTGTATGCAATTTTCTGTGGCTTGCTTTTTTGGTTTCTAAGTACTGTTTGTGAAATTCACCATATTGATTTTTCAGCTGGAGTTCAGCCTGTGGCTTATCTTTTTACTTTATTTCTTCTTTTCATGTACAGAAGTTTTAAAATTTTTAGTGTTGTCAACCCTTTATGGGTTATGCTTTCCATGATTTGCCTTTTATAACTTGAGACCATAATGAACTTCTCCCATTTTCTTCTGATAATTTTGTGGGTTTCTTCTCTTTTAGTTCTTTGACTTATCTGATATTGATTTTTTTGTGTATGCTGTGAGGTAGGGATCTTTTTTGTTTCCTCCTTAAATTAAAAGGAAATCATGCTTCTCCTTTGCTCAAAAATKTCTACATCTTCCCATCTTTCTCTAGTTAAGTCAAAATTCTTAAAGTGGCCAAAAGGCCCTGTGTAACCTGGCTCTCTGAAACATCTCTGCCTCATCTCCTATACCTCGTCCAGAGAATACTGGACACCTTGCTCTTCCCTGAACACTCCCCATTTTTTAGGGCACTTGACCTGCTGTTCTGATATTTCCAGATTACTACATTACTGATTCCCTCATGTCCCAAGTCTCTACTCAAATGTTGCCTTATTATGGGACTGTCTCTGACCACCTTAGCTAAAAAAATCTTCCTCTGTCACTTACACCCACCCTCTGGGTCATCTCTTTTTTCTCTTTCAGAAGTACTTACCTGAAAAACTTCTGGGCCTGGTGTTAGCTAGGTGTGCATTGGGAAGGGGGGCATTTTTCAAGTGCTGATTGAACATCTCRACTGGCTTTAATTAGATTTCCTGATTCTTAAGTTGGTTTTAGTAAGTTTACCCTCTTATTTTATTTATKTTTTGAATAGTAATATGTGCCCACAATACAACCATTCAAGTTTAAGAAGCATACATAATCAAAATAAATCTCCCTCCCATCTCTGCCWTCTAAGCTGCCTGCTTCCCCCACTCCTGGCTTCAGTTTCTTATCTATTTATTTTTGTAGTTTCTTGGTTATTATATTAGAAATAAATTATGTGTATGATAAGGATATATAAATATATGCATTCTGTTTTTACATAAATGGTGGAATACCGTATRTATTATTCTGCGGTTGCATTTTTCACTTAACTGTGTATGTTAGAAATAATTACATAGCTATACATAGAGGGCTGCTTCCTTTTATTACCTGCTGGATGGACTTACCTCGATTTAGTTATTTAGTCTCCTTCTGAAGGAYATTTGGGTATTCTCAGTCTTTGCAATGGCTTTCTAATCAGTGTTTCTWACCCATCTTTAATCAGTGATTCACCTTAAATTTCTATTCTCATGTTGTCATTTCCCTGTTCAGAAACTCCAGCAGCTGCTCAACACCCACAGAATGAGACTGAACTTCTTACCCTTGGAAGTAGAGCCCACGTGGTCTCCATGAGTTTTTTGCACTGTCCATCTGCTCCTGAAGAAGCCCCCTAAGTCGACCTGAGGTTTTCCAAATATACTTCTGTATTTTCCTTCAGCCTGATCCTTTCAACTGTTCCAAGGGGAGGAGCAAATCCTTGCCTTGGGCTAGTCACAGTGCACTCSGGTTGGTTCTCTCTGGAAGAGTGCTTTAAACCTGTCAACCCAGTCTCCCTTTGGTATGCCATACAGAACCGCACCAGGTGCTTTGAATTTTGATTTAGGAAACTGAAATTTTAATTGCTCTCCAATCAGTCCCTTTCTCTTCCAGACTCCAAATTCTTTGTAGATGGGGCAGTTCATTGGGAATGGCGAATGCTAAAACATGTCCGGACTTTCAAGTAGCTTACAACATGGTGAGTCAGACATGCAAAAAATTAAAATACACAACACAGTAGGAGCTTAGTGTACACTCTGTGGAATCACAAAAGGAAAGAAATGGCTTTTTTTTTTTTTTGGTTGATTTTTGTTTCTTTCATCTCCGGTCCTTAGCCCAGGGYCTGTTTCATGGTAGTTGCTCAGTAAGTCCCCGTTGAGTGAATAATAACCTAAAAGGAAGCATTGAAAGCCATCATTAACATCCTGCTCTCAAAGTCATCTTTTATCATAAACACAAATAAGTCAGCAGTGTCGATGTCGCTTATCTTTTGAGGAGAAAGAGGGCAGAGTGAGAGGGGGTGGAACTAGTGTCTTCCCGGGAGCGAGGCAAAGAACTTGCACCTGGACGGGGTCCGGGCGCTGGGCGGGGCGGCCAAGGGGAGGGGGCGGAGACTCGTCTCCCGGTCCCGCCTCCCCCCACCCCGCGGCGGCGGTGGCTGCGGAGCCGGGCGGCCGCGCGGGTGTCGGCAACAGCTGCAGCCGCCCGCACCGCCCCCTCGGCCGCGGCTCCCGGGGCGAGCCCGAGCACGGCTGGCAGCCAGCGGCGCACGGCCCCAGGAGACGGAAAGTTCGCAGTCTGGGCGCCGAGATGCCAGGCAGCGACACGGCGCTCACCGTGGACCGGACCTACTCCGACCCCGGCCGGCACCACCGCTGCAAGAGCCGGGTGAGAGCCGCGGCAGGGCGGCGGCGGGGGCGCCGAGCTCCGGGGAGGGCGCGCGGGGCCGGGGGGCGAGGCCGGGCGGGGCTTGGGCTCCGTGTTAACTCGCTCCGCCGCCGCCTCTCCCTCTGCTGGGGTCCTTGCTTCCCCGAATCACCGACCTGGAGGGGCCCCGAGCCCGCGTCCGCCGCCCAGGTGGGGAGCAGAGCCAGCCCGCGCCGCCGCTCGGCCCCGCGCTGTCCCGGGCGCCCGAGGCTCCCCGACGGCCCGCGCTCGTCGCCCTCCCCGCCAGGGCGCGCCCTCAGCCTGGAGGCGAGGGAATCCCGCCACCCGGCGCTGGAGGTCTCCAGGCCGGGCTCTGCCACCCTCGCTCCYAACCTCCCGGCTCCGCCGCGTGTCTCGCCCTCGGGAGGCGGCGGGCCCGCTTCTGCTCGAGTGAAAAGTCAGTCTTCGCACTGCCTCTCCGGAGTTTCCAGCCGTTCGGAGCAGGCGCCCTCGCCATTGTTTGCAGTGTAATTTGCCGTTGCTGATTTTGGCTGTGGGCGAAAATAGCTCTTCCAGGCATTCTGCGGGATGAGCCCTAGAGTGCTTCAATTTAAAGACGGAGGCCGCAGCCAGAGCGCTGGTCTCTCCGGGAAATACCTGTGTCCTCCCTGGCAGCTTAATCCTCGAGGCTGGATAAGAGGCTCCGAAATCTGTTCGCCTCGTGGCTGATTGAAGTGCCATTTAAAATGTGCCTCCTCCACCCTGGCATCTGTTCTGGAAAGAAATACCTGGAGTTGTGCTTGTCCGAGCGAACTGGGGATCTGGGTGTCAGCTTCCCTGTATAAAGTTCAAGGAGGTAGAACAGAATCAGTTTCAGGCCTGCCACCTTCAATATCCAAAGACAAACCAGATGGAGATAGTAACAACAGTGAAAGGAATGGTTGTGACCCTTCTGCAGGAAGGGTGTTCAGTCATAGTCCCAAGYTACCCCAGAAGTGAAGTAATTAGCCCCTAGAACATTTTCCTTTTTTCTTTTTGGCACTTGTTAATTTAACAAGATAATTTCAAGTTTTGGCAGTTTGAATATATTTGGTGGAATAATACCTCTTGTCTTCCCACTTCCCCCTATTCCCACCCCCCTTTCTTTAAAAGCTCATACTTGTTATGAGAATAACCAGAAACACTGTTTGGAAGAGAACGACTTTTGGTTACCTACAGTTAGAAGTTTCTTTAAGGGTGACTGCTCAATAATACAGCTAACCGAAGATGTTTTTCTAATTTGTGATTGTGCAGTCTATAAAGTTAGTGTTGCAGTTGACAGAAGAAATTTCAGACTTAAAAAATGTAGAGGCTTRGTTTCTCTTGGCATAACTGTGCTGATATTTGTGTAAACAGTACGATTGTGTAAACAGTAATTTCAAGAGATGGATGGCCCAGCTCATTTAAGCAATTGGTAGAATTCATGAAACTTTGGAAAACTCACTTTTAAAACAGGTGAGAAAGTCTCTACTTCAAGTACTTAGATGGAAAGTGTAACTGAACTGCAGGAGGAGTTTATCTCTGCCGTTTCTGTCATAGTTCGACTTCCACATCTATGTTGTGTGAAAGTGCCACCACTGTATTGGACTGGGCATCTTTATTTTCTTTAAAAGTCTGCTCACATGCTATATGTGCTACATTGTTTTGTTAGCATGGAGATACCTGATTTGAAATAGGGTGTGTTTAAAAACCAACTTACACTTTGTATGTACCACTTTTCCTAAATTTGTCTATTGGGGAAATGAGATATCCAGTGAGAACTAGAAGAAAGGCAGAGAGGGTGACTAGAACTTTAGTAGAAAAGATCGCAGATTCTATAGTAGCAGTGCTGGACTTCTTAAGAGTCCAGACTAAACTTCTTACCTTTCTGCTCTTAGGGGTTTTATTGTTGACATTGTGAGGAATCAGGAGAACTAGTGAAATCTTGCAAACTCTAAAGAACTTTTCTCCAGTGGGCCTGATGTAATTTTTTTTTAAGAACAATAACTTTATTTTATTTCTTTAACATGTTGCTGAGGATTGAACCTAGGGCCTCGTATGTACTAGGCAAGTGCTCTAACACTGAGCTATAGTCCCAGCCCCAAGGGTCTGATGTAATTTTGAACCTGTCGTTAAGGCTGCATTAAGTCTACTCTAATGAAGGGAAAGCAAAAGCAGTTTCCCCTGCATAGGAAGTATTCATTCCATGATTTTAGCTTCTGTTTTGTGGAATTCAATTAGGTGCAGCTATAAAGACATTTCATATTTACACCCAGAGAGTACGTGACGCAAAAGGGAGACATCAGTTGGTATTAGGGATTAATTTCTCAATGGCACCCTCTCCTTGGGAATAAACTAGTGTAAATTATGATTTAAGCCCTAATGGTCTCATTTGATAAATTGGCTTCCCTAAAATAACAATTGGGGATGCCTAGGAAGAGGTGATGAATTTTTTTAATAATATGCAGTTTCCTTCCAGATAGGAGCCACTCTTTTGAGAACATGTTCTTTGTTATCAAATGGTCATTTTTTAAAAAAAATTCAAAGTTGATACCCTGTTGAGATAACAGGAAAAATACACACATCTCTTTTGCTAGGCTTGTTTAAGCCTCTGTAACTGGAATAATAATGAGGCAGTGTGCTATTTTAATATTGCAAAAGTCTATTTTTATAGTCAGGTAGACTGACCTAGATCCCCCTCACCTTCAGCAAAAATGTAATAAAACCAATGAATTATGTGATTGTGTCTAAGCTAACAAGTCAGAATCATTCACATTTAAAAATTTTATCTTGTAAAACTCAGAAATAGTGCTTGTTAGCTTGACATACATAATACATCTCAACTTTAAAAGAAAGAGCATACATAATTAGAATCCTTTTTTTTCTTGTCCTAGATTATTAAAGCTTATCATCTTTTTAAGAATATGGGCAGTCTTCTTTCTTTACAGTAACTGGTTTATTTTTCATGTTAAAAATCACGTGTGAATCAAATTTTTGTTAGTACCGTTTTCATTTAAATGTTTGAAAGTGTCACTTCCAGCCATTTGAGTGTAGCTATGAGCAACTGTGGCTCCAGGTTTAGGCCAGTCTGGATCATGTTCTTGCTCTTCACAGTTACCAATTGGTCACCAAGACAGTGTCCTAAATAATCTTTCTGAGCCTGTAGTTAGCCATCTATTTAAAAAAAAAAAAAAAGTGATGAGCCAGGTAGGATGGTACACACCTGTAATTCTAGTTACTTTGAAAACTGAGGCTGAATTGTGAATTTGAGGCTAGCCTTGGCAACTTAGACCCTGACTCAGATTAAAAAGGGGCTGCAGATGTAGCTCAGTAATAGAGTGTCCTTAGATTCTTCAGTTCCAAAAATAATTAATTTAAAAAAACGAAAGAGTTTTTAAGGCCAGGCTGGTTAACTTAGTGAGACCCTACCTCAAAATAAAAATAAGACTAAACATGTATTAAACATTTTTAATACATGTACTAAACATGCTGGTATAGTACTTGTCCAGCATGCACAAGCGTATGGGGTTCAATTCCCCAGAACTGCAAAAAAAAAAAAAAAAAAAAAACAACTTGGAAAATAAATAAAAAGTATGATATTAGTCCATTCTTCAGGGAGTGACTATGAGTCTTACATAAGAGTGTTGTTTAAAAAAAAAAAAGTTAAGATTGAGCCAGATGTGGTGCACATCTATAATCCCAGCAACTTGGGAGGCTGAGGCAGGAGGATTAAAAGTTTGAGGCTAGCCTCAGCAACTTAGTGAGACCCTGGCTCACTAGTTAAGCACCCCTGGGTTCAATCCTCAGTACAAAAATAAATAAATAAATAAAGATTGTGTGCACTCAAATGTTAGCTATTTTTATCTGTATGTAAGGTGAATTTTTTTCTTATTCTGTTGGTGCCTTGGTTACTCAGAACTGCTAGTCATTTTGAGTGCCTGCTTTCCCCCATCTCTCTAACCTAGGTCTTTCTCTGACATTTTTCTGGAATTGATTCCTTCCTTCTGTACCCCCAGTCACCTCCTACCCAGTTCAGCCATAAGGACCTTCACTAACTTCTATCCATCGCACCTGTAAGGACCCAGGTTATTTTCCCCACAGACCCACTTTCATTAGTTTCATCTTCAGAAAACAGATCTCRCTGTAGTGAAACTTGCTACTGGCAACACTTTGAGCTCTCTACTCATTCTCAGGCTTAGTTTCCTCTTCTACACAAGATGGGTGTTGTAAGGAATAACTGCAATGATGTTTATGAAATGTGAACAGAGCAGTCTGTGAATATTTTTCTAGCCAGTGACTTGTTTCATTCTAAAGAGTTCATTAAAGAGACTGTGAATAATGAATGGTGTTGCAGGCCAGACTTTTCTTATATTTGGGATGACTAGATTGATAGGGCAAGTGTTTTTTGAGCTGTGGATCCACCCGCCTGTCACATCCGTTGTTGAGCACCAAGACAGCTGCTACCTGACTGGATCACAGGATGTGTTTTGCTTCAGACCCTGGGCTTGAGTTTCCAGGGCTGCTGCTAAGGTTAGAAATCAACTGAGCGCTAGATGAAAATTGCCCACATCTTGACTTTAGGCGAATCTGCGGCGTTCAGCCCTGCTGTTTCTGGTGTTTTTGTGTTTTCAATAGAGGGGGTGGTGAGAAAAAAGGAAGAGAACCATGAATCACTGTACTGTGAATCAGAATGAGGACTTTTCATTCCTTAGAAAAGGAGCATCAGGATGTATGATTTGTGCCTGATCCAGCCACTTCATGGACTTGGGAGGGGTGCTATGTGAAGCAAAACAGTGAACTTGTTGATTATTTCTCTGTAAGGAGGCAAACAGAGCACAAAAGAATGCTCACCAGTAGTAGTTAATATGCACTGATTACTGAATGTACACCAGGCGATGGAAAGTACTTCAAATTCACTATCTCTTTGATCTTCACAGTATCCTGCTTACAGCTCCATTTTACAGTTGAGGAGGCTGAAGACCAGCCTGGTTACTAATTTGTTC